GTACTAACACTTCACAGGTTAATATACGGTATCATCTGAATGTCCCAGCAACCAGAAAACCTCCCAGAATGAATTCTTAATGGATTTTTTTTTTTTAGCAATCTAGAATGTTTACCTTTTCCATATCCTGAGGTGTTGCTGTCAGAAGTGTATGGCCAGATGATATCCACTGTCTTGCAAAAATGACATATTGACCAAGGCCAAACTCTTCAAGCCAGTTGCAAACACGTTCAGTGTCCCATTGGGCAAATGGGGCATTATGATCACTAAGAACCACAATTAAGGAAAAGGGATTTGCATTAGCATATCATCGTCGATAACCTGCAATCCATAACTGTGACTGAGATGCAAGATCAGTTGAATAAATAAATATATAAAAGTTTCCCAACTATTAGTCACTATGGATTAAAGTCAGAATCTCTTAATCTCAGGATTATTATCATCATAATAATGTGGGGAGATTATATTAAAAAAAACCTGAGCATAGAGATATCCCACTTCAAACTATTAAAGAGTTTCCAGTATATCTTTGCTTCCTTGCCGTTGGGGTGTGATGCTAGTTCGCCTCCTCGTGGTGCACCCTAGATAGCACAGTAGTGTGAACTGAGCAACTAGCAACAAGTGGCAGCCAGACTACATTGAAGAATTGGTAGTTCATAAAGTTGGTAGCCAGGCATCTTTGTGGAACTCCTGGCTCTCTAAATACATGACAATGGATAAACAAAATGGGCCTTTTTTGGCTCAAAGATCAAGACAGATTGGGGCCAGAATATGCCAAATTAATGTTTTGCCATACACTAAATAAATAAATCCTTGCCGTTGGTTTTTATTTTCAAGAATAGGGAAATTTGCCATGCATCACTTGCTTTTGAATATTAATAAAACTGGAATATTTCTCAGAAACATATAGATGAGTTAGCCACATAACATGACAAAAATAGAAACCCAGTAGCTTCAATATGACATTTAGGCTGGGTAGGTTTAGCAGCTATAGCATTTCCTGCTAATCCCATTGCAAAACAATTTGCTCTTTGGTCATTTGCTATGTCTCGGTTGCAAACAACCAAAGTCCATTGTGATAGAGTTAATGGGAAGTAGACTAAGCAAAGAAGCAAAATTTATTCTTGTTTCAGAAACTGCAGTCAAATAGAACAGTGAGGCTTTGTAAATAAGAATTATTATTGAGGGAGGTTGCTAAACACTTGAATGTATCCTGTACAATTGCAAACACATATTTACCAGTTAGGTCCCCTAGAAGAGAAATCTTGGTTTGAAAATCTCTACATAAAGGTAAAACAATGCTTTTCACTACAGAGTGAATTTAACTCTGTTAAATGAAATTTTTAGAGTGAATTAAAGTTAGATGAAATTCAGAGTGAATTTAAACGTTTAAGCAAAGAGCTAGCCACACACACAAAAATAGCCATCTTCTACCTCTTTGGACCCTTGGTGTCCTTTGACCGAGATAATCGAGGTCCAGCTGTTGCACGGAGACCACCTCTTCGAAATTCAACCAAACCTAGATCATCTCCAGGGAAATTTCCAGATTGAGTTCGACGTATCCTTTTATGGAGAGGTTAAAAATGGTAAGTCATCAGAAATTCAAACACAAACAGCAAAATTTACATACCAATACCTGAATTTTTGATGTCAGGTATGCAGTAGTATCTAATGTTTCTTCAGGTGGATGCATTAATCTATTACATTGCTTCTGTTTCCTGGATTTTCTTTTACATTTTNACTCCCAGAATTCCCCAGCCAGCGAATGCTGGCTGGGGAATTCTGGGAGTTGAAGTCCGGACGTCTTCAAGTTGCCAAGGTTGAGAAACACTGATTTAAGAAACTGGTTCTCTGCCCTAATGATTTCTTCCAACAACCTGTTCACCAAACTGCTCAGAAAGTTAACCACCGGTTCCCCCGAAGTGGTGCGAACTGCCTGAATCCCACCACTGGATGCAAGGCTGAGTCAATCTTGAGCTGCTGAGAATCGAACTGCTAAACAGCTGGCAGTTGGCAGTCAACAGAAGTAGCCTGCAATACTACATTCTAACCACTGCGCCACCACGACTCATAGATAAAGCCTCTTCGGTTATTTCAGGGATACAACCATGTCATTTTCCTGGCCATGATAAAGAATTAGTTTTCTATTGTCTTTTTCTGAGATGTTTTCCCATCTTCCCTACCTTGCAAATGACCTTCTGGGGGATTTCCCCTCCCATTCTAAGTCTGATTGACCCTACTTAGCTTTTTGAGATCAATCAAGATTAATTTAAATTAATTCTACTTATACAAAGATAGCTTTGTGCAAATACGAAAATAAAAGAAAGAGAATGAACGAGAAGACAAAAAAAAAATCCAGGATAGATTACCTTGCATGCAAAGTAGCGACCTCATTTTTATTACGAAAACATGGGAAAATAAAATCGATTTCTGCTTGATCTGTCACAGGGTAACCTAAGACTAATTTCTATTTTTACAATACACACTGTAGAGAGTTAAGGCATCAGGCTTGAAACCCGCAGACTGTGAATTTTAGTTGCTCTTTAGGCACAAAGTCAGCTGAGCAGTGGTGGGTTCCCAGCGGTGTCCACATGGACACAGTGCATGCATGCATCTTAGCGCCTCTGCGAGCCTCCGCAATGCGCCAGCAGCTCAGCAGAGTGTCATGCAGGCGCTGTACACGCCATGCGCGGAAGCGCCGAAAACTTAAAAGACCGGTAAGGAGCTCAGGCGGGCAGGTGGGCCCTCCGGAGCACCCTAACGGAATGGTATCCGGTGCTCCAGGCAGGCTCCGGTATGCCCGTACCGGGGCGTACCACCTGCAACTCACCACTGGAGCTGAGTGACCTTGGGCCAGCCACTCTCTCTCAACCCTAGAAAAGAGGCAATGGCAAACCACTTCTGAAAGTCCTTGCCAAAAAACCTGCAGGGACTTGTCCTGACAGTCTGTGAGAATCGGATACAGTTGAACAAAAGACAAAATAAACCCCCACATATTATGATATGAACCAACACTTACAACTGTAAGTGGGGAAATAAAAATGTAATATAATGTTCATTAACTGATCTTTAACAGGGGTGGGCTTCAAAAATTGCAGCAATGGGTTCTCTGCTGGCTGGGGGTGGCCATGGTGGGCGTGGCCTAGTCGGTCGTCTGCACCACGGGGGGGGGGGCATTTTTTCCACCCTCCCCAGGCTCTGGAGGTTTTTCTCAAGTCTCCGGGAGGGCGAAAACTGCTTTTCCCGGACTCTGGAGGCCCTTCGAGGCCCATTTTTCCCCCTCCCCAAGCTCCGGAGGGTGAAAACTGCATCTCTCTGGATTCCAGAGACTGGAAACTGGCCCATTTCCGGACTTCCAGAACTTCCGGTAGGCCTGTTGTCCCCCCTCCTCGAGCCTCTGCATGGGCCCCGCACTTACTTGGCATGATTTATGGGCGTGGAGACTCCTGAGTTGTGTGGGGTATTATGCGGTAGAAGCGGCAGGGAGGGGTGGGTGTGGCCAGCCAGGGGTGGCATTTGGGGGTTTGCCGAACTGGGCAGAATCCTATCTAGAGGATCGCCCGAACCTGTGTGAATCCCCAGTAACCCACCCCTGATCTTTAATAAGAACAGTTCAGCCAGGTCATTATAAATTTGTTTTTCTATTTACTGGGTCCCCAAAAGTGGCAACACAGAATGTAAGTCCATTTCCCCCCCATCTTCTAGTAACCTGTTAGATTAATGGCTGGATTTTTTGGGGACAATTAAAATTTAGATTTGCGCAGATCGGTTATTGGAACTAGGGATAAATCTATGTCCCATGCCTTCCCAGGAGAAGCCTTGGAAATCTTGCATTTGCTGGTTTCTCCAGTGTGCAAATGAATTCCTTTCTCAGTATTGCAGATAATAGTGTCTGCTTGTTATAAGAAATCAGCTGCTCTGGCTTTGATGTAACAGAAAGTGACATGAGTCGTATTTCAAGTCATGTTTTATATTGGATATTTTGAAGTGATGCAAAATGTGTCGGCTTCAGTGCAAATTGCTGTTCAGTTTTGCCCGGTCCGAAATGTTCAGTTTGTGAAACCTAGTTTGAAAGGTGCCGAATCCGGTTCTTTATTGTTAACGAACCATTGCTCGCTACAAAAAAGACTGATTGTGAGTAGGATTTGTGTAGTAATCCATAGACACACTGAAACCCTCCTTCAAGTCCCTGAATCAGTGGTGGGATTCCGCCAGTTCGCACCTCTTCGGGAGAACCGGTTCTCAACTTTCTAAGAGGTTCAGAGAATCGGTTGTTGGAAGAAATCATTAGGGCAGAGAACCGGTTGTTAAATTATTTGAATCTCACCACTGGTGTACCAGTGCCTGCTGGGAGCACCAGGTACCGTTCCAGTGCAGTTCTCAACAGGGCCCACCTTCCTGTCCACGCTCCTTACTGGTATTGGATGTTTTCGGGTCTTCCGTGCATGTGCACAGAGCGTACGGCGCCTGCGTGACTCTCTGCTGAGCAGCTGGAGCATTGAGGAGGCATCGCAGGTGGTAAATACGCAAGTGCACACTACGTTCATGTGGTAGACGTCTGGCCCCATTGCACCGTACTGGTTGCAATGGGATCCGGACCCACCATTGATCTTGTGCCAGGGTTTCTCGGGAGGTGGTGTCGATATCCAGGGCAGTGGTGGGATTCAAATAATTTAACAACTGGTTCTCTGTCCTAATGACCAGCTGGGTAGGTGGGGCTTAGTGGTCATGTGACTGTGTGGGCATGGCCAACTCAACATTACTCGGGTCGATGGGCGCTTCGCCTTAGCTGTTACAATGTACTAAGGGTTAACTGTAGAGGCAGTTTCTATAAGCAGGGCAATAAAGATTAGGATAGCAATAGCAGTTAGACTTATATACCGCTT